ACATACATACATACATACGTCCACCACTGGACCCAGACCAAAACGCTTGCACTTCGCCACACCCCTCACGGAGAGGGAAGATGGGCAACCTCCTGCACAGGCCATGACACCCAGCCAGGTAGCAGGATCCAAGCAATCTGGCACAGCAGCGGCACAACCACCTACCGCTGCCCAGCCTCCACTGGCGAGCCCAATACACAGCCAAGAAACGGCTGAAGAAGAGAGCCTCGAACAAGATGCAGAGATGCAAGTGGACTACTTTTAACCCATCCACCTGGCGGAGAGGCAGCGCAGCGGCCAAAACGGCCATCGCTCAGCAGAGAGAAAAGCCACTCTAGGAAAAATACATACATACACATAATTACATACACACATACATACATACATACATTACATTACATAACATTACATACCATTACATACCTTTACATACATACATACATACGTACATACGTACCTACGTACCTACGTACGTACATACATACATACATACATGACATACATACATACATACATACATACAGACAGACAGACATACATACATACATACATACATACATACATTACATACATACATACATACATACATGGCTCAAGCCATTTGAGATCAAGCAGGCAGCCCCTCAAGTCCTGCAAGTGCATCAAGCCCTAGCGCTACTGTTGCCTGCACTTTGACATCTCGAACGGCTCAAGGACAACCTGACGTACCACCGTTCTTTGCTAGTTATCCAGCTGAACACCTTCCTCACTTCCGAAGAGACCTACGGTAGCTGGCAAGCGCTCGCCTGGGACAACCTCTTGGATATCCTGCTTAGGTTTGTCTACACACCCTTCCACCTTGGGGACAATTTGCACTACCTGATCACTTTGCCCGTGATCCCTACTTCATAAAGTACGTTCCAGGCCTGAACGTGATCGGTGCAGTGATCATGACATGGTGCAGGGGCCTATACTCCATGCAGCAAACCAAGGTACCCGATGCCGGAAATGTGGCACAATGTGGCCAACTACTTCGACAAGCACAGGGAAAGGAAAGGGCTATGGTAAGCCAAGCAATCGGCACACTCGAGGCCAACAAGGACTGCAACCTCCTCCGGGATTGGCTAAGGTCAGGCCTCTAAAGATCTCCAAAGTGCAACAGGAAGCT